GCAAAGTCGTAGCTGCTACAGTACCGAAAGGCCAAGTTCGAGACTTCTAGAAGTGGCCTTTCGGAGTTGGCCTGTGTTCAGCAGAGGCAAGTGGTGGTAGTCCACCTAGCCCAGTCAGCAGTCCCAGTTAGTCAGTCCGGTCCTRTTCAGCAAGTACCGCCTGGGACTGTGTGCACATCGTGGGCCAAGGGATACAGGGCAGACCAACGCAGTGCAGAAGTATAAATCAAGAGGCTGCGTCCARCCATTTTTCATTCCTGCGGATGCCATGCGGAAGCGCTGCCCCAGCAGCTTGTGCGAGGAGGTCTGCAGTGCGCCCGAAGACGAAGAGGGCAGTGAAGTGTAGTGTAGCGATAGGATAGTGGCAGCCATAGTTGCCATAGCTATAGTAGCGTGTGTGTGTGTGTGTGTTGCGTGTAGAGTGTTGCGTGTGGGACATCCAGGGTGATCCAGAGTGCGAACAGTGAGTTGTGTGGGCGCTCAGTCGCCATAGCCAGTTGAATGAACTCCTACCTGGTTACAATATCTTGAGTACTGTGTGGGCGCATGTCGCCAGTTTGCTGTTTCGCTGTTTGCATGCATGACAAGTGTGAAGAAGTCGAGTATGATTGCAGGAAGGAGAGGAGAGGGAGAGAGAGTGAGAGCACACACACACACACTCACTCATTCAACACGACCGGCGGACTCAACAGATGCAGACAAAGTAGCGGAGTCTCAAAGTCGAAGTCTTGAATTCTCGATGCCGGAGAACAAGTCACACAAAGCAAGCACAGTAGCTGAAAACTGGTTGATTGATGGTATGGGCGGCCGATGTATATATCGGTTGGCCATGCCAAACGGGGACCAGGTCTGCAAGGCCCTGGGCACGAAACTCAAAAACAGGGATTTTGGGAGTGGCGCCAAAACAGGGCTGCAGCAGAAAACAACGAAGGCTGCAGGCGGGCTTGTGGCACGCAGACCGGGGATCCAGCCCTGGCTAGTTTGTAACAATTTCGTGGCACTTACATACACCAGTGTTTCAGGCATCCAAGTTGCTGCCCTACGTCGCCAATGATCATTTCCCTTCACGTAGATCAATGATCCCTCCCGACATGGATGGAAGATATGGCATAGATCGTATCCTAGAGGAGGACGTATACAGAACAGGAAGAAGGGGTAGAGGAGGACGTATACAGAACAGGAGAAAGGGGTAGAGGAGGACGTATACAGAACAGGAAGAAGGGGTAGAGTAGGACGTATACAGAACAGGAAGAAGGGGCAGTACAAAGTGAGATTCGCGTATCAAGAACTAGAGGATGACCGCTGGTACACTAGGGATGAGTTAATAGAGACTGCACCTCATATTGTGTCCTGTTATGAGCGTGCTCAAAAGGGAATCAACATCATAGACAGATAAGTATTAGATCTTTCTCGGAGGACGTCGAAATTGGGCCGGCGGGAGTGAAAGGATTTCACACAGTCAGACCCCGAAGTCCCGGTCCCAAGGTCTCAGTCAGTACCGGTCCCAGGCTGTCCCGGTAGGGTAGGTCTTAGGGTCCGTAGGTTGAAACATCGTAGTTGGACAGAGGTAGGGTAAGAAGCGTCGCAGTCCGGTAAAAGTCCGCTGGTAGCTGCAGAATAATTTGCGTATATTTATGGCTGCCTCATCTGGAATTGCAGGTTGATGAGCAATTACATCTATCTATGTATAACTGAAAATATTTCACACAGTTAGACCCCGAAGTCCAGGTCCCAAGATCCTAGTCAGTCCCCCTCCCAGGCTGTCCCGGTAGGGTAGGTCCTAGGGTCTGTACGTTGAAACATCGTACGTCGAAAGAGGTCGGGTACTGAAGTGCCGCAGTCCAGTAGAAGTCCGCAGATACCTCCAGAGGAAGTCAAGTCCCAAGTCCAAAATTGCAGCAGCATCCCAAGAAAGTCCGGAGACTTCCGGAAACACCAATTTTGGCAAGGCAGAGGCCGCGGGTGACCGGTACCGGTCCGAAGCAGGCACGGACAGTCAACTGCAACTATATGTAGCTGCTACAATCCAGATGTTCATTCGTGAAAGTTGCGGAAGCGCTGCAAGCTGCTTATGAGATATTGCGACCTGGACGAAGGACGAAGCGCCCGGGGAGGAGTAGGCGCCCTGGTGATGAGAGTCAGCCATAGCTAATTGTAGAGGAGGAGGAAAACTGCAGCCATAACCGCCAGGGTGAAAGAGACATCGCAGCTGTATTCAGAGTAGATCCTAGGGCAAGAGAGAGAGAGAGAGAGAGAGAGAGAGAGAGAGAGAGAG